TCTTCAAGTTCAACAGTGAACTTTCTTATGTTGCTTGTAGTTTGTTATGAGTAGGTAACAAAATATAACTTTAATTTCACATCTAATCTCTAACCTAGCCCACTATGGAGCCTGTAGCCTAAACTGAGCAGCTACTGGAGCTGGACTAAAGCATGCTGATTTTGCTAGCCACATTACGAGCAGTCCAAGCAAAAAAAAATGAAATATAGGGATACTAGTACATTTGCACACACTGAGACTTATTTACAGCCAAGATGGTAAAAAGGATATAAAATGCTTCGATTGCCGACCCCTGAGCTAAGCCTACTAGTAAGGGGTGATCAGCACGTTGGGGCAGCGTGTGCCCATTTGCTCGAACTGTCCATGGCTCAGTCAGGATTGCGCAATTGCCACCAGCCCAGTTAATGACTGCGCTCTGTGGTGAGAAATTGCTATATTGCTATAGCTACACGAAAATTTGTAGGCGCTACAGCTACTAGCTCCATTTCATAAAACTATAGCGGCTACAGCTATTAGCTACAAAATGTGTAGCTAACTACAAAAAGGAGCGTGCTACTTAGCTACTCCCCCATCCCTGGGTCCATGGGGGTCCTGACCACTGAAGAACAGGGTAAAAGGGGGCTAACAAAGTATGCAGGGAAACAGATGGACTACAGTCTGTAATTGAGGAACTACAAAGTGTGGATTGTGTCAAACTGATGAGGCTGAGAGATACAGTGCTATCATGACAAAGAACATATCAGCCCAAATGCCCCTTTAAACGAATGGTTTCCTAAAAATCTAGTTTACAAAGTTCCCCCTTTCCAAACATAGTTGATCAGCCTTAAGTTTGCTTCTTTAGTTTGGCACTGGAGCTAAAAGGCTAATATAATATAAAGCTGGGTCAATCAAAAAAGAATAAGGTTTCTATTTCTTGTTAGCTACGTGTTAGCTCTTGTAACATTGATTCTTTGGTGAACCATTCTTTTGAATTTTCTTGTTACAAGATTGTAAATCTAGAGCTAAAACTAGATGATACACAAAGTGCACAAACTTAACATTATTTTTGGAAAAAACACTGAAAAGAAAGCTTTATAGAGTGTACAATAAGAGAAAGAAACTTGCCTGAACCATCAAATGCAGATACTTGAGAAAGCAGATGTATAAGTAACTGATTTAGAGACCCATTTGGTCTAAATATTACATTTAGGATTATAATGAGACACATAGATAAAATGATCTTACTTATGTCTGACTTTGTGAGTGCCACTATTCTGCAGAGGTTTTCCACTGTAAAGCACTGAAACCAGTGAATTGGTCATTACTAGAGTCTTTACAAGAATCTTATGACCTAAACTGCCCAGTTTCCCAAACTCATACAATTCATCATACAAATTTAGGGACAAACTGTAAAAACACAAGCACCTGAGATTATATGTATTACAGAAATTACAGTGTAAAAGTTTCAGTGCAGTGTATTAAAGCCTTTTATTAACACTGTGTACACTTTCAAAAGAAGTACTGTGCAGCTACATTTTTCATTCATCAAGATACAAACTATGTAAACGTGACTTCAAAGGTACTACAATGGTTTTAAGGTCTAATTTTGTATCTTCAGTAGGTTTTTCACAGGGGAAAAGTACATATTTCTAGCTTTTTATGACCTGATGTTTTAAATTAAGATCATGAAATAAAAGGCTGGAGACAACAGCTGGTATTTAGGGTCAAAAAAGGCTTAAAAATATCATTTCAATGTAACATTGTACAATTATATTCCCTAAGTAAAGGTACTGAAGACATACTCTTGAGGATACCACCCCAGAGACAAGAGGGGTAACGCCCCAGTGACAGTTTAGTACCTTTTATCTGAGAGTTCACTACAACAAAATCTATCCATCTATCCATCCTGTTGACTTCATAATCTATATTTTAAGAGTACATTGACCTTAATAATGATCATAGCAAGGTTAAGCCATGATAGATGATGATTTCTTCGTCTGTGAAGTGAAAATAGTTAAGATAATTACTGGTTATAATATAGTTAAGCCTCCAAAAAGTAAAAGGCAGTAATGAAGTTTAATTTTTTTTTTTTACCTGTGATCCAGACCAAACTGAAGAGAACAGAAATCAGCTGTGCTGTCACGGCCATCGTGTGAGGAAGTTTCTAAACCAAGGAAGTAAGCAGAGGTTAAAACCTCCATAATGAGCAAGACATAAAAAAAAGTAGGAAATAAGTGAAGAAAAATGAACAAAGACACCAAATAATATAAAGTCATTGTAATGTATACATAATATAAGCAATATGTCATTATACTCAAGCTAACAAAGCACAGCAGGAATGAATAGGAAACATTTAGTTCTGTGAAACATAAATGAGGCTGTTCAGGTTTAGCTTGAGTATCTTTTCCTATAAAGCAAAAAACAAGTGTATAATATTAGATATATTTTATATAAGATACTATAAAAAGTTGTAGTTCGTCACTGCCAGACCCTTGAGTGGAAAACCACAGGCATGCAGATACAGTGTGGGGGAGGGGTGGAAGGTGACCACCATGAGGTATGATTGATATCATTATATCACACATTGATTTTACTATACTTTTGAGGACCCCTGTAGACGTCTGTTGTACTGTAGCCAAGTAATACTGCACCCAGTCCTAACCTTAACTAAAACTATCTTAATCCAAAGAAGTTGAATTTGTGGACAAAATAGCATGTTTTCTTAGAAAGGCCAGCAAGAAAAAGTTTCAAGTTTCAAGTTTATTTGTCTTTTGCACAACATGTCAGGACATTTGTGCATTTAAATGCTTGTGGTGAGGCTCAGGTAATCACTCTACAGCAAGGTAGCATTATATACATACTAAGAACAGTGCAAACAAAACAAGCAAAAAAAAAAACTAAATTACTGAAATATAATAAATATACACAAAATACACACAAAATATACAGAGACAGGAGGGAAGACGTAAAAAAAATCTCTACAATGTACAAATATATTAGACAAAGGGTAATCTGAGATGAGAGTGTGTCTTTTGCACATGTGAGGACATTTGTGCACTGAACTTTATTACATTATTATTATATTACTTTACAGGAGAAGGAAAAAACTTCTTTACTTTAAATGTAAGTCAAAGGGACTAGCCTTTTTCCAAGTCATTTTTGGCCATTTGTTTTGGTCCATTCATCATTAAGTATATATCTAATGTAAAGGGCCACAGCCATTTTCAAGTGGCAGTGATATTGTCCGTAGCAGTGATTTGATATAATAAATAATATTACCAAAGTGACCGAGTGGGGGAAGGACACAGCTTGTTCAGAAGCCTGATAGCTGTGGGTAGAAATAATAAAACATTTGCAAACACAAATTATTTTAAATTCTTTTTCCAAATGAAAACAACTTTTAGCAAGTTTAGCAAGGTCAGTCTGCTGACCCCTGCGTGAACTGCACTGTCACAGATTCCCCAGTTTTGCTCTGTGTGTGCCTGTTTCTGCCCCTCTGTTATAACCTTGTGCTTTTTTTCATTTAAGTCCTTGTCTCTGCCCTGTTCCCACCTTTGCCCTTAGTGCTCCAACATGTGTGCCATTCATTTCTCCTCCCTGTGACGATGCTTCACCGAACCCTGTGAGGAGACACAAAGTCACCAGGTAGGTTGTGGCTGAATGGTATGCGGGATGATGGTGAGTGATTTATTTACAAACATGCAAAACATACAAAAGAAAAACTGCAAAACAAAACAAACAGTAGTTTTAATGGCAGTACAGGTAAGTATATGTAGTCCAAGGCCACAAGACCATAGAACTACACTTCTAACTTGCTCTACTCACATTTCCATCAGCTGCCTCTGAGTTTGAGGTGAGTACTATCGAGCTAGTGTTATGGAAATTGCATTAATTCAATGTAATTTGCTTTATTGCTTGCAGAGTGTAAAACTATGTACGGGCAAAAGGTCATGGACAAAACACCTTGTCCACTGACTGATAGAAGTGCTTTGCTGCCTAGATACAAAAAACAGGAAGTATCCTCACATAGTAACTGACCTCAGTCACCCGTCCTGCACCCACCAGTACTTCTGCTTTAATAAGATATTCTAGGTGGAGCATCTCTGATGATGCCCCTATGTACTCATAACCTTGTATGGTAATATTAACAGAGTGATAACAACAGCTGTCAAAACCTCTCCTTATTTGGTATCTGCTAACATCTAGTTTGGGGTATATGACCCCTATGTAAGAGAGACCGCCTCAGAGTGTGCTCTCATCTCTTCACTCTCTGGTCTGTATCACTGAATAACTCTTGCTTATTCAAAAACTGGTGATTCGTTCTTTGTCACGATTTCCTTGACAAAACTTTGGGAATTACCATGACACTAGTCTCCCCACTACCTTTTATAGACTTAGCCCCACCCCTTTATCACCTAAGCCAAACCATTCCACTCTGCAGGGGTGTTGCTGCCCTCTAAGAGTGGGTTAAAATAAAGGTAAACAATACCATAATCAATGTCATAAGGCCTTAATACGTTATATGACCGGTAAAAGATGTTTAATACAGTGCGCACATTTGTTGACCTGTTTTCTGGGACCTAGGTTGGAGACATCACCCCTCCCATGAGCTAGCTGTGGTACCTCAGGTGTTATAATAACTGCTGCACCACTTAAGATGGAATAGGAAAATTGGAACAATAAGCTGGTACATAAAAAGCCAACTTCAGCCTTTTATTAACATTATAGGTTTGATGGTCTAAATGCCTTTATCAGAAAATGTTTCCAGCATTAAAATAATAATCAGGATATTTTGATAGACTAAATCAGCTTATCAGGGGAAGTACTAATATTAAGCTGAGTCTTTACTGAATTAAAATTCAATACCTAGGATAGCATAAACCGTTAACTGCTAGGTAGCTTTTGTATGAACTTAGTGTGAGCTGGCTCCAGCCTCGCTGCGCCAGCCTCACAAAACAGGTATCTTTGCCAGCAGGCTCCCGCAGCTAGCCGGCTCCTCCAGCCAGGCTTCGCTGTCAAACCTCGCTGCACCATCTCAACCACTCTCCATTGTCCATCTTCACTGTGCTGCTCCTCTTTTGCAGTCCTCAGCCAGACTCTGTCTTCTCTGGCATTTAGCTGCTGACTTGCTTTTCCCTCTGGATCACTTGGGGGTGATCCCTCTTCTGATACCATTGTGGCATGCTCTTTTATTACCAGGTACAAGGACCCATGCTCCATGCTTCATGCAGTTATTGGCACCCCTTCGTTTAATACTTTGTGCAGCCTCCCTTTGCAGAGCTCTGAGTCTTGTAATGCTTAGTGAGACTGGCAAACACATGGCAAAGGATCTGAGACCATTCCTTCATACAAAATCTCAGCGGATCAGATTCCTCCTCTTCAGCCCATCTCACAGGTCAGTTAGCATAGCAGAAGACAACACATAGTGCTTTAAACGTGTGCTCTTTTTTTGACATGACGCAGGGGAAACCTGCCAAGAGCACTATCTAAACGATAGGTAGGTCACCTGCAACCACACATCTCACATACATAGTAGACCCCAACTCCACTAACAAGCCACATAGCCCAGCACAGCATATTGCAACAACATTTCAACCCCTATACTGTCCAAGCAGCAAGAACTATATGTTTTAACTACACTTTCTTGCTTTTACTTACACCAGTATGGTGTGGATTGAAAGTATAGATTATGGTAGTGCAAGTCAGTGTGCACTGGTGACAGAAAATGCAAGGTAAAGGATGTGTGTGTGTGTGTGTGTGTGTGTGTGTGTGTGTGTGTGTATGTATGTATGTGTATATATATATATATATATATATATATATATATATATATATATATATATATATATATATATATATATATATATACACACACACATTGTGTGTGTGTGTGTGTGTAATAACGATAATGTGTAATAACAATAACGATAACATATAAATATAGCCAAGACACACCTATATATTGAAAAAAAAAATGCACAGCACATCCAAAGTTTTGCCTGAAGCTTTAAATGCTAGTTGTCCTTGGCAATCTGATGCAAACTGTACTGAACACAAATTGTGAGATTTAACATGTTTCATTTGAGCTGAAATGGCTCAAATGTGTAGCATTATACCACAATCTATACAAGAAACTTAGCTCCTGTTTTAAGAGAATGTTTTCAAGCTGCATCAGAACACTTAAAAACCACATCCTTTCTGTAGAGCCTATAGACAAAAAAAAAAACACCATTTCCGGAAAGGCCTCAGGTTCTCTCTCTGGCCACAAAAATAACCCCCATAAGCCTCAAACTAATGTTACCAAAGCAAACACATGAGCAGGTCTAAAACACACTGGATGTAAAAGGTTATTCAATTAAATATAATTTTAAATTTAAATGTGAAGCTTCACTGTGTCTCCACACTAACAGTTTTGTTGGTTCAGGTTTTCTCTTCTTTTTTTCCCAATTCCATTTTGAACTTCACCCTGTTTCACCAAGCCCTGTGTTTTTCATCTTAATACTTTCGTACCTACTTTGTTTGATGTAGACCTGTCAAATGTTTTTTTAATTTGGTCTGTTTTGGTCCCCCCAAAGAACTGAACTGTGGTCTGGCAAAAATTGCAGATATTGATCTGCCTCTAAGTGAAAGCTGCTTCACACACCGATGATGGACGAGAAGGCAGTCTCTGCTCTAATTCATACCAAAGGTGTTCTATCAGGTTGAGGTCAGGACTCTGTGTAGTTCTTCTACACCAAACTCGCTCATCCATGTCTTTATGGACCTTGCTTTGTGCACTGGTGCGCAGTCATGTTGGAACAGGAAGGGGCCGTCCCCAAACTGTTCCCACTAAGTTGGGAGCAGGAAATTGCCCAAAATCTCTTGGTCTGCTAAAGCATTAAGAGTTCCTCTCACTGGAACTACACCACTGCATTCAACGCTTTGCATAGCGCTTGATGATGTAAGGCTGGACAGGAGTTGCTGTCATTCCCAATCGCTTCCACTTTGTTATAATACCACTGCCAGTTGACTGTGGAATATTTAGTAGCGAGGAAATTTCACAACTGGACTTGTTGCCCAGGTGGCATCCTATCACGGTACCACGCTGGAATTCACTGAGCTCCTGAGAGCGACCCATTCTTTCACAAATGTTTGTAGAAGCAGTCTGCATGCCTATGGCTTGGTTTTATACACCTGTGGCCATGGAAGTGATTGGAACACCTGAATTCATTGATTTGGATGGGTGAGTGAATACTGCCATTGTTCTGTACCTCAGTCCTTCTGTTTTTATGTGTAGGTAAGTCACTTAGCTTTATTTCTCTCTCTGAAACATGGCTTTTTGGCCCCAACTCTTCCATGAAGGCCACTTCTACATGACTGTAGATGGGTGTGCCATAGTCCCAGTGGTTTTTGCCAATTCTGAGTTGAGAGCGGTGCTAGATATCTTCTGAAGAGAAGCAGGCCTGACATGCTTAATGCGCTCAGTTTCCATAGCCAAACACTGTGTTTCTGGTCCTTTATCTTCTGCAGAAAAGCTTGGACAGCACATCTGGAAACATCTGTCTACCACAAAATCTCTGCTTGGGAGAGACGTTGCTCATGCAGGATGACCACCTTCTGTCTTGTTGTAGTCTTGCCATAGTGCAAGATTTGAAGGTTAAACTGCCACATCCACCACAGTCTCACCTTTTCAGTAAAAGTTGTCTCTCACCCAGTTTTATACACAGTTGTTTCTATTTTAGTTCATCAATTTAGTTCAATCAGCACATAGCATCATTGATCATTACCCTACTGTAGAATTTCATGGTTTGTAAAAGAAATGATTGGAAAAGTAAAATATTCTGTTTACTACTGAGGAAAACTTCCTTTTGTAGAGCGTACCTCAGGTACAGAAAGAGGC